CTTCGACGCAAAGATTATTAAAGGCTTCGCCTAGTCTATCCTCTCAAAAAATCTTAATGCTAAATGTTCATGCTAGGAAACTAAGAGAGAACTAGGGAACCACCAGAGAGAACCATAAGAAAAAAAAATTTGGGATTTTAAAGCATGAAACTATCATGGAAAACCAGAACTAGTAGGCAGGGATAAAATTATTCAGTGAAGCTTAAGCAGAAAGTTCCTCAACAATCCTACTAAAGCTGTCATTAGCATATATAAATATATATGGGTATTTGCAGCCTGCAGAGAAAACCTGCCAGATTCCTGTTACATTATCTCACTGTCTAATCACATTGTCTTCATCAATGTGACTACTGAGTTAGAGATAGTAAGCCGGTTAGGGATAAAGCATTCTGTGGACTACTGTCCGTGGGCAAAATAATGAAGGATTCCACAGGAAAATTGGAAATCCTACACGTTCAGCCTTAATTGACATTGTTTCAAAAGAATCTAACATGTAAACGACTTGAGAGCAGACCACTCCTTCATTGGCAACTGAGAGAAGTTAACTTGGTATATGTGGTGTGGTAGAGTAACAAGTGTACGAGTTCTTTATCTGTATATATATATAAGTTTAGCTTCAGGGTTCAAGACACACTTGGCAATGATCTCTCTTGCACACCAATTTTCATTGTTGAACATCAAAACAGACTTGGCAGCTTAAAAAGCCGGTAGTCCCTGTTAATTGGTTGTGTCTGACGTGTCAACAATTGTATAGCACAAAAGCAAAGTAAATCAAGATTGTTTGAGCAACGAAGAAGTTCCTGTTTTCATTCTTGTGAATGGTAGGCTAACCTTTTAAAGGATAAGTTATTAAAGGATAAGTTACTTATCTTGGAGCAAGAATATTTGATATACAAACTTTGGATTATGAAGTAAATTGTCAATTTGGGTGTGGGTGGGTGTGTGTGTGTGTGTGTGTGTGTGTGTGTGTGTGTGTGTGTGTGTGTGTGTGTGTATCCTTGAAATAGAAATTGATTTAGCTATATTAAATTTTGAGCTAAAGAAGGGAAAGAATGATGGTTGTGGAGGAACAAAGTCAAGAAAACACTAGGTGACATTAGTCAAAAGTAGTATCGCTTTGGATCAGAAAACCAAAAGAATGTTATCCATTGAATGACATACCAAAAATATGCGTGAATCAAACAGCAAAAATGTGAATGAAACTACCCTTTTCTCAGAAAAATTATATCATTTTTAGATAGTTTAATAACTGTCACTAGATCTAACAAGAAATTGCACAAGTATATGACTATAAAGATTCTCTATTTGAATTCACAAACAAACTGATCACCACTCCATCAAGAACCTAGAGAAGAACCAAACAATTTAATATGCCTTATAATATAATCACACACCTCTGAATTAAACAAGTTAAGCCCCAAAACCAAGCAACTTGGCTGTGCAAAGGTCCACCTACACAATTAACACCAAAAGCAACATGGTTCAACTAAACAAAACTTCTATTTCTGGGTCAAAAATAGCTTTAAAAAAAAAAGGAAAAAGAAATTATCCCTAGAAGAATTATTACCTTGTGTAATGGGAACTTTGAGTGATGCAGTAGAAAGGAGGAGGAGGATGAGGAGGAGGCAAACCAAATTCAGCCCTATTGAATTTTTTGCAGGTATCAATCTTTTTTGTCCATGATTATACAATACTCAAAGCATTACCAAACAAAAAACCAGCCCTTTTCAACAACAATGCTAACTTTCAATTCTTTTTCTTCCATGAAAATATTTCCAAGACGATCCTGTGATCACCGACTACTGCCCAGACCCTTGTGAGTCATCCTTTCCAGAAGCCTGCTGTTGTTGGTGATGGTGCTGGTGTTGCTGATGTTGCTGCTGTTGGTGATGGTGCTGCTGGTGCACCCTAGCCTGCCCCATCTGCTGATAAATCTGGCTCAAGGCTTGTGGGTTCAGAACCCCTATATGGCCATCTTGAGACAAACCAAGCTCCAACCCAGGAAGCTGCTGATTAGTGGCACCCAGAATTGAGGTAAAACTCAAAGGACCCATGTTTGTAGCAGCAGCAGCAGGCAAATCAAACCCTGGAAATCCAATCTTCTGCAGATAATTTGATCCACCACCACCTCCACCTTCACTTCCAAGACCTGTTGTTGATGGTCCAGTAGAAGATGACTGGAACCCAAAACCAGTTACGGGGGGCCACAGCCCTGTGGTCACGTGATGGGGTCTCCCTAAATTGGCACCACCAACAGAGCCAGCACCAACACCACCCACCATTGCCCAGCTGGTCCTACTGGTTCCTGACCCGAGACTGGACCCCCCTAGTCCGCCCAGCTCATCAATCTTTTGGGCGTGTAATCCGGCTGATAAAGAGGCCCCTTGCTGGGAAACTGACCCACTAGCCGCCGCCAAAGCTGATGCAGGAATCGTCCCAGTTCCAGTGGCCGCAATTATCGATGGCTCAGCTTGTTGGAGTAGCCACTGAATCGTTTCACCATCGGATTTGTGACCCAATTCTCTAGTCAACTGAAAGATTCTCGCGGCGCATAAAGCCGGCATCCTTATCCTCCTCCCTCTTCCTTCAACCTTGGTGTGCCTGTCCTTGTTGGAGCTCCGCTTGGGAGCCAATTGCTTTTTGCCTTCTTCTTTATCTGCAATCACAATCTGGAAATCCTTGACCTCCGCCGGTTTGTTGTCAGCCATGGTCTGTGATTGCTGCTGCTGCTGCTGTTGTTGTTGTTGTTGTTGTTGCGGGAGGCTCAAGAAGGATGGTACTTGGTCTTGGGAGTGCTTTGATGAGGCCTTGGGATCCATGAAGGAGATGGGGGTGTTTGGGGGGCAGGAAAATAAGAAAAGAAAAAAGAAGAAAAAGGGTCTTCTTTGTTGGCGTTGATTGAAGAAGGGGTGAGCAGAAAAGTCCTGGACTTTCATGAGTTTTTACTGTTTTTGGTGAGAAAATCAGACACAAATAAAAAAGAAAAACATTAAAATATTGAAATCCCAATGTAACCCTCCATAAAAGATGTCAATATTCGTCTCAATTTTTCTGTTTTAAAATTCTGTCCAAATAATGTGTGTATGTTTTAACCACTTAATATTTATATTTTAATTATATCTTTTGATTAAATAAATATTTAATTTAAAAATCTAAATCAAATTATGACGATTACCTCAGTTGGTAAGAAACAAGTCTTTTCTTCCCCTACTAATCTAAAATAGAAGATTGAAAATTTTTAAATTAAAAATTAAATCCTTTACTACCTATTGTTCAATTATTAATTTAAAATAAGAAAATTAATATATATATATAATTAATTAATTAATTAATTTTCATAATCACTTAATTAAAAAATAATTTTATGTCATTAACTCCTGTGATTACCTCTTAATCACTGTTTGTAAGAAGGGATATATGACAGCAACTTTAACGTCCAATTTTTCATTTCACTCAACTCAACACATTCCATGAAATTTCTATTTTTCTTCACTTCACTCTCCCTCCTGTTCATCCCATTATTACAAACAACAACCCTAATAATAATTATAATTACACAATACATACATACATACATATATATGTACATGTCATGTCTTGTAAGGGAAGGGACTCAATCTTTGTCCAAGTGGATGCATTAGATTCTGACACCTGGCATCCTAGGAATGGCTGCTGTTCTTGCTTGTAACCCACTCTCTAATCTCTGTACTATGCCCATACTTTTCGGATATCTTAAAGCAATATATATATATATATATATATATATATATGTATATATAGATATGTACATCCACAGTTCAAAGAAAGCATGGTTGAATATATATATATATATATACACACACACATATGCAATATTATAATATATTTTAAAAAAAAATTAGTTTTCAATTGACTTTTTTTTTATATCTATTTCACTTATGATTGGTTAAAATAGAAAATTAATTTTATTAACTAAATTAAATTGTCCCACATAATTTATATTTTACAGGTATGTAGTAATTCGTAGTAAAAAAATATATTTATTGTTATTTGACGATAATAATTAATTAAAAATTTGTACCAACCTCTACTAATTCTAATTATATTTTAATTATTATGGCAATAAGTTGATAATAATTAGTAACTAAAATAATTACAAATAATAATAAAATAAATTAATAAATAACAAAGTATCACAAAAATTAAAAAATAAATCGGTAACCTTAAATAATTAAGATTTACCTTAAAAAAAAAAAAAGTTGCTTACCCTACGAATATTAAAATTGATGTTAAAATAATTATTTATTAACAATATTTTTAGTAAAAAATTTATATAATATTTGATAAATAAAAAAAATATTTTTATTTTAAAAAATCAGAAATTATGTATTTAATGAAAATAATTTTTAAAATTTTAATTATGAAAACTAAAATTATTTTCTAAACCTAAAAATACATGATGAGATGTAGCGTATGGAAAAAAGAGAGATGGGTGGAGCTGCAGTTACACAATCAGCCAAAAGAGAAAATTTGTTGGAGTTTGGGATCAAAAGGAGATGAGATGAGAGCCGTTTGATTTGTTGAATTTTGTCTGTAGATATTGTCCTTAGGGGCCCACAATCCAATAGTTCTCTGATTGTTAATGGGCCCCACCATAAAATCTACCATGTCCGCCTCTCATTCTTCTTCTATTTTTTTTCCATTACACAACTTAAACGCACATAAATTAACAGAGTAATATGTTAAATAAGATAATAGAGTGCATCATAAACTTGTCTTGATGGAATGTCATACGTACGCATGTACATATATATACCCATTACATATATATATATATATATATTATTTATAAACAATTTTTAAAATAAAGGTATAATTTGTGTGTATGGGCATGAGAGATGGCAATATGCATACACCTGTCAAAATGATTAACCTCTATTGAGTGGATATATACCAGTAAGAACTTATCAAGAAAAAACGACACCAACTCCTCCATATATATATATATATATAATAATTTAAACACTAAGAAGACAACATTTATCGATCAATGGCGCCCCCGAAAAGGAATATATTATTTTTATTCCATATATAATAAATATAATATTATATATGTGAATATTTTATCCAAAACATGCATGAATATTTTGTTAGTTTGTCAAAAGAAATATGGACCAGAAGTTGGTATAATAATTGCTAATGTGTGTGCTAGTTTATGATTTGTTTATAATATATATATGTACGCAAATATATTTTCTTTATAATATACATATATTAAATACTAAAATATGTTAAACTTTAGGCCGACTATGTAAATAAATCAATTCCAGCATAACACGGGATCATCCTAACCCACATATATGTATATGTATATGTATATATATGTGTGTGTAATTATTGTTAATTTATTACATGATTTAGTTGGAAGAAATATTATCATAATAAAACATTAGAAACCATCATTACAGAACAAAACTTATTTAAAACAAAAAGCAAATGATCTTAAATTAAATAAAGTAATTTAGCTACGATATAAAACTAATTTTAGTCCATCTATAGGTGTGCGTCTGTGTGTATTTATATAATTCTAGCAGCCAAAAACTAGTCTTGTTTTCTTGTTAGTTTAGGATAGGGTAATATATATATATGTGTGTGTGTTTGTATATACATATATACTCGTTAATTAATTAAAATTAGTGGGTTAATTTGGTCTAAAGTAGATAACTTTTTATTTTTTTCAAAAAATAAAATAAAAAGTTGGCAGGTTGGTATGATTATCGTGTCTCACTTTTACTATTTGGGTATGGAATAATTAAACTACCGTTGGACTTAAAAAGAAGATAAGGAAGGAAAATTTATTTGTTAATCAATATTATATATATATATATATATATATATATACATATATATTGCGAAAATCACTCCATGATAGTTCCTAGAAGAAGTCACCGTGATAGAAAAAGTAGAGCAAATTATATATATGGGTTTCTTGAGTTTGCTATTATTTTTATAGTTCCTTCCATATATATATATATATATATATTATATAAGCAGAATCACTTGTTATATTATTATTAATTAAATATATATTACTATATTAATATGTAATTATATATTGTAAAATTTTCAAATATTTTTATTAAATTTATTTTGAAAAATATATATTACTAATTTCCATGCCATCAAGACATGTAGATATTTTTATGTATAGGTTCTTACATATATATATATATATATATATATACATATAGTGGTTTGACTCATATTATTAATGCATGAAAAATCGGTGCAGTTGTTGGTCATGATAGTGGGGATCCATCCTTTGTGAGATTGTTCTTTTCAATCATTTATATCTTCTTGACTTAATTTATAAGGAAGCTAATTTAAAGGGTTTTGTGAATGTGTACATACAACGAGAGAGTTACCGTAATCTTTTTATCGTCTAAATTATTATAGCATAAATAAACTCAAAACCATATTAAATATAAAAATATAATTTATTTATAAAAAAAAACGTATTAACTATTAAATTAAGAAATCAGTGAAATAATTATTTTATAAATTTTTTATAAGATTTGATCTTTCAATTAATCAAAATTGCAAATATATATATATATATATAACTTTAATTTGTGAAGTAATTAATTTGAATTTGATGGATAATGGAGATTGACCTGCAATTTGAAAGGATGGTGTATGTGGTGATAATTATTATTGAGAATGGAATGGATATATATATATATATATATGTATATGTGTGTGTTGGTGATTGAATTGGTGGTCACAAAATGTTTCCCATCATGGAGACAAACGTGGCCCCCCTCTTTCAAAGCTATATATTGAAATTTTGAAATATCAATTCCCCCTAAATCAAACACGTATATACACACATATATATATATACATATACATATTGATAATATATAATTTTTAAGACCCGAATTTCAACAAGAGATAATCTTAGATCTTTCTTGTTTGTCTTAATCATGTAATTTGCATAAGTGTAATCAAGGCTCTTTACTACTCCCATCTTTTTCAAAAGTGAACATATTTATAGCTTTACTCTCTTTGACTATACAAATCTATAGAGACATATGTAAATACATACATATATACGTATATTTTTGGGTTCCTTTCTTTTGTTTATAAGGGGAAGTGGGTTAGACTCGAATTCTATACATCATGTGTTATTATTTAAAAAAATAATATTGTAATTGATGTAAATATGTAAATCGTATAGTTTTTTTATATATATATATTAAAAAATTTATTAATTTTAAAAGCTTACTTCAAATTAAAATTTATATACAAAATGAGAGATGCACTTAATTGGCAATCTAACAATAAGATATATATTATTATTATTATTATTATTATTATGCAGTAGTTTCAATAAGGAAGTAATGACATAAGAAACTACATATATATATATATATATATATATATGGAACTAGAAAAAGGTGTGGGCTCTGGACTTGTAGTTGATGGTGCTCAATAATTAGAGTGTCACTTTCTCATATTTTTGTAATTATTTTTTAAGTAGAAAACTTATTCAATTGATAATAAATTGACATGATAACATAACAATAATTAATATTAATAAGAATATTTCTTAATTCGTGTTTCCTAAATTAAAAATTGCACTACTTATTTTACCAACCCAATTATTATCAAAATTTAACTCAGATTTAATAATAACATTCATATCAGAAAATAAAACATTATTATATATATATATATATATATAAAACTAGTGATGGGGGCAAACACAAATTAATTCATAAAATAGTCTAAATTCCAATTCAATTTTTTTCTAATTTATTTGGTGACCCATCTTTGACATCTTTTTTTTTTTTGGGGGGAAAATATTTAATTAAAGGTTCTGATGAGTTGATTAATTATTATGTCAGTGAATCAGCCAAACACCTGGCAGCTATATATAATTAATAATTAATAATTGATCAGCCATAATTAATAGCTTATGCAATCACACACGACTTACAACTGCCTTCTACTACTACTACTATTTCATTTAAGATTTTTCTTTTAAATTAAGCTTCCACTTTTCTTGTCTGGCCTTAATTGATAATTAATTAACAATGGGGATGAATTTGCTGTGAAATTAATAGTAATAATCACTCAAATTATAAATATTAAAATTTTAACAATAATGCCTATGAAAATACTCATGTTAATAATCTTTTTAAGTAAAATATTTCGAATAAATTTTTTTATTTATAAGATATTGTAAATTTAAATCAAATTATACATTCTAATTAATATTTATATATCACTTATTGATTAATATATGAATTTCTATTAAAAGAAAGTATTAAATTAATATGCATTAGATATAATTTATAGTTATAGTTTAACAAGAGGAATATAAAAGCTTTTTTACTTACTTAAAAAGGCATATTATAAGTTGTGTATGGCGTATATACCAAGAATTATAATTATAATTAATGATTATTATTATGCATACAAGTGAGGATGAATGGTAACTATAATTAATTTTTACTCCATGGGTTTAGTGTTATTTTATGATTTAATCCATTTGGAAGAAATGTATGCTTTTGAATCATATACAATTATTAAATCAAAACCTTTTATCATCAACGTCCAACATTGTAGAAGACTAAGCAGAGATTAATTATTCCTTAATCGTTTTTCAAATCAATTTATAAGTTAGATCGAGGTTTAATCTTTTTGAGTTAAAATCACGAAAATTATGATTAAAAATCTCTTAATTTTAGTTTAAAGACTTATTTTTGAAACACAAAGTGAAAAAAATTATCACATAATACCTTGATAATAGGAAATAAATGAAATATTTCTTTTTTTTAAAAAAAAAAAAAAAAGAAAACCCACTTCAAGCAAGATATATACATATGTATTTATATGCATATGCATGTATATATATATATATATAGATAGATATATTTATATACATTCTCCTTTTTCATCAATTACATGGTTCACTTTTTGAGGAAGAAGAAGTAATAAACAAGTTAAAGAAAACGCACAATATACTTTGATTATGCTCATTGAATCATGTTGTCGAAACTCCAAGTTATTAGAGAAACATGCCATAAACTTTTATCAGCCAAAGCGAGAAGCAGATTAGCCGCCACCAAGTTGCACGTAAAGCTTTTCAGAAATACGCACACATATACATACAGCCACATATATGTCTATATAC